ATATATATATGTGTGTGTATGTGTAAAAATTAACATAAAGAAAGCACGTTTAGCCTCGTGCTGCGTGCGTTTCTTTTGTACATAGCGAAATTCTTGTCTAAGTTGTAGTTAATACTATTTCAATGGAGCTTACTAGCCTCGTCAAACACAAAGCAGATGATGAACAGAAGCAGAGCATTGTGCTTAACAATATATTGTACACTAGGCGTATGCGTAATCTAGCTATAGAATTTATCAACATGGAAATATGCAACAAACAAACAACAACAACAAAAAAAAAATCCCCCCTCGTCGTACATATTTGTTTTGTCTTTCAGCAGATCTCATAGAGGCATAAGTCAACACGCAGCTCAAAATTTGAAGAAAAGAAAAATATCATTACCTATTAGGGTAAATAAGTACATATACAGCCTAAACGAATAATTCTCCCTCTATTTTCGAGGCATATCATGAGCAAAACAAATAAGTGCGTGTATTGTCTTGCAGTTATTTCCATATAAAATATATTTATAATTAGAGTGTAAGTGAAAAGCCAGCACTAGTGTAGGCATCTCAGACAAATAATAAATATACTTAAATGTCATAGCAGTCGCACACACACAAAACTTCTTTCAACTAAGAAAAGTCTAAAATTGTTGTTTTTATTTTTTTTTATTTTGTGTGTGCTTCTGTAGTTTAGTGTTACAACAAGTTAAGCGTCCATATCAAGTACATTTGTGTAGACTTGAGCGAAAACAGTCATTAAGTATAGTTCTAATGGTTAATTACGCGATTGCTGATTGCAATTGTTGGACTATATAAATGTTATCAGCGGCAGCAGCAACAGCTCCTATTCAAACTGCTTAAAATCCAATTTGAAAAAATATAAAAAAAAAAAATAAAAAAAATTAAATTCAGCTTAACTCTCATTTTCACTAATGCAACAACAAGTCGTATATGCCAAAGATAACGAGAGCAAATTCCATAAAAAAATAAAATAAAATAAAATAAATTAAAAAAATAAAATAAAATAAAATGCGAAACAAACTATTTTCTGCACTTTTGCATATACCAAAAAATACATAATAATA